GAACTTAACGTGAGTCACAGACTTTTAATTGATTTCTAACAATGCTTCACAGCATTGTGCAACCTTGACACTTTTCAAGCCTGTACATTCAATGTTGGGAGTTCCCACAATGCAATGACCCGGGCTTGGAGTTCACAGAGTTCAAGGACGTTGTTAATGCAGTCACGTGGACACCACAAAGTATGGCTTTTCACTGCGGGGCGTGCACAAATTTGGCCGTTGCGTTTGTGAATTAGTCGCACTGTTGAAGATGTAATAATATGCGATGATAGTGGCCAGCAGATGTTTTGTAAATCGAACCGAGATTGTGGATTCCCTGCTGTCACTGCCTGTCTTGCATATAATCACGTGTAGAGTATAATAAGAGAGGTCATCGAGTGCAAGGTGAAAGCTTCAACCTCAGCGTTTCACTCACCAGAGTCCACTTTTCTCAGCAGCAATGCTCTGACGGTATACGGGATGATTCCAGTTACACACAGCCTGCGTATGTCATGCACAACATGTTTTGGGATTTCTCATTAAACAGTTTACAGATAATAGAAAATAAAGTAAAAATTGCATAAAAATGTATTTTAAAACGTCTCGTTACGATTTGCAGGTAAAATTAAAAAAAAACACATACGGCCTTGTTTTTTTGCACAAAGGCCACACAAGTGTATCGAAACATTCATACTGAAGGTAGCATGTACGGTACTGTACAGTAGTTATATTCCAAGATAACTTCGTTTTTTTTAATTATCCGTATGTAGTAGTAATCACTAATACATGTGTGTTTACAACAAAAAAACTAGTGTGTCGCATAACAGCAATGGAGCCAAACAAAATGTGAACGGAAATACAATTCTGAAACGGTAAATGCAACAAAGATCGCTGTCAATGATGTAACTTTTTCTTTCATGTCATCATTCGTGTTCAAGCTTTGTAATCTTTAATGAAGCCAATGTTCACGATTTATGTGGAAAATATGTTGCAATGACCATGCACTTGCTTTGAGAATAAACGGGTTGGCTTACAATGCATGACTGTAGTTGAAATAAGTAGCAAAAGAGCAAATAAATAATGTGGGTTACAGAGAGCTGTATGGAACCATGAACTACTGAATTATCAAGGTTATTGGCTGTTGTAAATACATAACGTTTTATTTAAGCTTTAGTTTTTTTAAATTTCACTACTTTAGAAGTCCAATGAAATGTATTATCCCTTTTGCGAGCGAGACCTCGGAAAGCATACGTACTTAGAGTCGATTACAGCGTATTTGTGGGTAATGATCCGAATGAGGATTGTATGTATGATGCAGCACACAATTACCTACACTTCCAGGACCTAACCAGACACGTGTGAAAATCACTTGGTTAATATAATGCCTCGTAAACCGAATCGTCAACAAGAATGATGGCCACTAGGTTAGCCAAAAAACCCGTCTAATTCACATTACAACTGCCATATGCATGCAACGGTGTAACGTGTAAGAAAAATAAATCCTGCTATGGCCTCAATTAAGTTTGAGATCTGTGCATAGGATGACGTGTCTGTGGGATTGTGGTGAAGACTGGTGGAGACCACCCACTCGCAAAAGAAAACCCTTTTTAGTGCAGCCTGGAAATGGCAATCCATGCGCGACAATGTGCAATTGTTTAAGAGGCATGCCTGGATTTATGGTGTGCCAACACTTCCACAAGTGCGGTGGTAGTTCGTTTACTTTGGTGTGTTTGGAATGCATTTTTCTATAGTGTCCACGGTCGTGTTTAATAGCAGATAAACAATACATTACCACCGTTACGACTGTTGCATTATGATCAATGATAACGATGACACGTGTTTGTTTTTTTAAAGCCAAAAAATTGATTTCATAAAAACTGGAATCATATTGATGATGGTGTTAAGGTTTGTTTTTGTCAATGGAATTGTATATGTTGTATTTGAATACTGCTGTATATGTTGGAATGCTCGTGTATGTGTGTGAGTGACATTTAAGTGGGGAGCAGTGGTGTAGCGCTTGGTGTGATGAGCTACAAACCCGGCGATCACAGTTCGATTCCCGCTTAGGGCCAACAACAGTGATGCTTATCAAAACCGGTTCTGAGCCTTCCCTAAGTGGCACTCAGCCTCAAATGAGTACCTGGTGCCATGTGAAAACATTGCCACTAGGGAGATAAAGGCGGTTTGGCGTGGTGCTGACACCCTTGTGTGCCGTGTCGGCTTCCATAGGTTTTCGCTAACAGCACTTGCCCGTGTTAAGGCTATCGGGGGATCTTTGTCTTTGTGACATTTAATGGTAATTATTTAAACATATACGAGTTAATTATTACTTTTAACGTTTAGCTACCCTTCAAGTGTTGTAATCCAAGGTGATTATTTGTTTTCATTGCGTGCTAAGCAGTCAGTGAATGGTAAAATTATACTCTTTGCTTTTTTCGGTAAAGTCACATACGAGTAATTCCTTCAGTCACGAAAGCTTCGAATCAAGGTAAAATTATAATTTTAACAATGCATCTACGAATGTGACTTTATAGAATGAATTGTGATTAAACGAAACTTATATACACGGGATGTCGTTTTTAAATATTAACACCATGTTTCTTATATAATCGCATACTCACGTAATTGTCTCAGAAGACATCTGCTTATAGTTCAATAGTCATATCCAGGTGTTTCCAATGCGTGCAGGTTTTTTTTTACTGTAGTTGAAGGATTGAATGTATACCTTTTCAATGTGTCGTGTCCTTATGCATTACATCCCTGTCTTTCGCTCTTTGAGCCATCGTAATTTGTGTTACTTTTAAGAAAGCATTAACAATAGAGGATGGCCTGATGAGATAATGACGAGAGATGAAATTGTGGACCAAATAATCATAAATCAAACTTTCAATTATAAAACAAGACGAAACTACACAATTTCTGATATACGGTTAAATTGCAAAGAAAATGTATAGCGTAATTATCAGCCTGAAGGAAAAGACAATTGATAAAAAAAATGTTACATATATTTTAAAAGATGGGGTTTTAATGTCCACTGAATGCTATATCTTTCTGAGACACCGAATGAGTTTTGCAATTTATGAAAATCGGATTTGTGGATTAAAAAACTTAACATGGCAAGAAAGAATCCACTCACATGCACATTTTATGAGTGTCACAATGTATATGTGTGTCACCATGTATCTGTGTCACCAAGTATCTGCGTGTCAACATGTATCTGTCACTATGTATCTATGCATGTCATCATGTGTCTGTCACCACCATGTATCTTTGTGTGTCACCACGTATCCGTGTGTGCCACCATATGTGTCACCATGTATCTATGTGCATCACCGTGTGTCTGAGTGTGTCACTTTGTCGGCATGGTGCATCTCCGATTAGCACAGTTGGCTACGCAAGGTGCAACAGAAGTTCAACATACATACATGTATGGCTTCAGTCACTGCTGCAGATTAGGAAGTAAAAATCCAACAGCCAATGTGATGCTGCTCATTTCCATTCGTGGCCCTGAGCTATTGGTGCATATTCCACATTCCCATGGTGGTGCCCAGTCGTGGAACAATCTTCACTTCCTACAAAGTCGTACCGATTTGATCAACCCTGTCATGACAATAGGCTTAAGTCAGCTCTCGAATATTTATATCAGATTGTGAACCATGTCACCTGACTAGACAAGCAGTATGTAAAATACTTAGAAAACTTTTTTTGCATAACAAATCGCATTTTCTCTGTCTAGCATTGGGAAGTATGTGGAAATCACACGTGCAAGTTTAAGTCTGTGAGCCACGCGATAGCTTCGGGAGTTGCGCAACTAATACCGCTCAGTCCGCCGGAGAGCGAGCGTAGGATGCAGTTTTTTGTGATACGGTCCATTGCTTGGTTCGGGTGGCCGCAGCCACACTGTGGGTTGTATTTAATTATCCACTTGTGGAGGAGGTGTGCACAGCGACCAGTTGCTGTTCTGAAGCGGTTTAGTGGAGCACCGTGGTTTTATTGGCAGAACAAAGCCGTGCGGAGCAATGGTGGGGTCATCTATGAGGCTTTTGTTTGAAAAACCTCACAAATAGCATTCAGCTTGTAAAATAATTTTGTGTTCTGACTTAGGCAACACTTTTGAAGTGTATGGCATCCTTTAATCCATGGGAGATTATGGATTTTCAGATTTCACTTTTTGAAAGGATTTATATTATTTGAAAATTTTCTGTTCTGACTGACACCGAGTGGCATAATTTTTTAGAATGGCTCACGAAACCACCATATTTGACCTCTCAATCAGAAAGATTTCTGGCTCCCAGGTGTCTTTTATACAAGGAACGAGCTGAGATTAGGAGCACACTCTTAAAGGGAGTGCTCCTAATCTCTGCTTGTTACCTGTATAAAAGACACCTGTCCACAGAAGCAATCAATCAATCAGATTCCAAACTCTCCACCATGGCCAAGACCAAAGAGCTCTGCAAGGATGTCAGGGACAAGATTATAGACCTACACAAGGCTGGAATGGGCTACAAGACCATTGCCAAGCAGCTTGGTGGGAAGGTGAGAACAGTTGGTGCGATTATTCGCAAATGGAAGAAACACAAAAGAACTGTCAATCTCCCTCGGCCTGGGGCTCCATGCAAGATCTCACCTCGTGGAGTTGCAATGATCATGAGAACGGTGAGGAATCAGCCCAGAAGTACACAGGAGGATCTTGTCAATGATCTCAAGGCAGCTGGGACCATAGTCACCAAGAAAACAATTAGTAAAACACTATGCCGTGAAGGACTAAAATCCTGCAGCCCGCAAGGTCCCCTGCTCAAGAAAGCACATATACATGCCCGTCTGAAGTTTGCCAATGAACATCTGAATGATTCAGTGGACAAGTGGGTCAAAGTATTGTGGTCAGATGAGACCAAAATGGAGCTCTTTGGCATAAACTCAACTCGCCGTGTTTGGAGGAAGAGGAATGCTGCCTATGACCCCAAGAACACCATCCCCACCGTCAAACATGGAGGTGGAAACATTATGCTTTGGGGGTGTTTTTTCTGTTAAGGGGACAAGACAACTTCACCGCATCAAAGGGACGATGGACGGGGCCATGTACCGTCAAATCTTGGGTGAGAACCTCCTTCCCTCAGCCAGGGCATTGAAAATGGGTCGTGGATGCGTATTCCAGCATGTCAATGACCCAAAATCACACTGCCAAGGCAACAAAGGAGTGGCTCAAGATGAAGCACATTAAGGTCCTGGAGTGGCCATAGCCAGTCTCCAGACCTTTATTCTGTCTCTCACTGTTCAAATAAACCTACCATTAAAATTATAGACTGATAATTTCTTTCTCAGTGGGTAAACGTACAAAATCAGCAGGGGATCAAATACTTTTTTTCCCTCACTGTAGATGCAAGCGCAAATACAGGCAGAATGAATACAGATGCAGTGACAGTATTGCTGAATGGAGGGATAGAAATATATGGAGAGGGATTGTGTCAAAGAGAAACATAAAAGTACAGAGACAGTGATACAGATAACAAAAATTGTGAAACGGAAAAATACAAAGCGAGACACGAGAAGCATTCAATAAGACACACTCAAGAGACTGAGAGAGGGAGAGTGAGATGAAGACATGTGCACTTCTTCTTTCAGATGGCTGATGTAGACGCAGAGCAAAAGCTACAATTTCACATTCAGGTGGTCAAGTAAGATAACCAGTGATTTAATTGAGTTGTTTTCATGTATTTTACCTACGTGACTTTACCGAAAAGACCAAAAAGTATGAATCCTTGCAATCACGAAAGCTTCAGAACTAGAACAAGATAACCAGGGCGGGAGTAGCGGAGTGTATCTCTGTGATGTCTCCTTCGTATTTGTGGATCGAGCATTGTGTCGTTATATGTGTTATGGTCTGTTCTGGGTGACCACAGTCGCACACCAGAGACTTTTTAATTTTCCATTTGTGCATCAGGCATGCGCATCTGCCATGGTTTGTGTGGATGCGGTACTGAGTGGACCATTAACTTTATGAAAGAGAAACTTGAAATGGAAGACATGTAAGACACGAGTGAAGCATAGGGAGAGAAATTGGAAGGAGATAGAAAGATAGACAGTGACATGGAAGGGAATGGAGAGAATCATGCATGGAGTCTCTCTAATCATGCTCAATGTGACACTAACATGTGGACAGAATTTCTATCATATTTTTATTTTAGTTGACCAGGTAAGGCTCACTGAGCCCTCTTTCAGAAGCGACCTGGCCACAAATGATAGCTCAACGAAGTGGCTTATCGTTTGCGGAAATGTATTGCAGCCAAATACTCAAAACGAATGTTGATTCTAAATATGGAGGAAAAAACGGAGGACCCAGAGAGAATTCCCCGCGACCACGGGGAGAACATGTCGACTCAAAATATACAGCGGGCGTCGGGGTCAGAATGAGGATCGAACGTCTCACCACCGTGGGCACCCCTGAATTTCACAGTGCACATAAATTTTACAGTAACTTGGCAGTACGACACCACTATGGCAGGGCGCTATCCTAACTTGTTTGATGCCTTGGAAAGGCGTTTTATTGTTACAATCCAACTTGCATGCGATATTTTCCTGCCAACCAATTGAATGCTTTAGGAATCGATGCGTTACAAATGAATGCAATCAGCGTGAGGGGTCAGGATATGGTGGTCTCAAGGCACGTCCACACCCGAGCAATGTTGCACAACCAAATCGTGCAACTTGACCGCCTGCCACGGCTTTGTCCACAATATAAGCGATGAGTTGGGCAACAAGGGTGTGTCTAGGTGTAGCTAGAGTGTTCCTGGCCATGCCCTTTACACTATAGCCCCACCCCTTTTCTGGGTAGCCCCACCCCTCAAACACGTCACAATTGTAACAACTATTCAAAAGTACACGTGATAAACTCCCGTGGTCACGACGAATCACTGAGCGGATCACTTGAACGTAGAATCTGTCTTTACTTTGAGCAACATCTGTCGCGCGACTGCTTGCAAATGGCAAGAGACGTACACATATAAGCGATTAGTTGCATGCAACCAAGTCGCGCAAACAAATCGCTCAGGTGTGGATGCGCCTCAAGCTCGTGAGTCTAAAAGACAGGGGAATCAGTTGAGGCTCGTGACCCAACACTCCTGGAATCCTGGTTTCCGACTGGATTATGCCAGTGAAACTAACCTGATTTATCAAACTTGTCAATCTGCACCCAGTTAAATAATACAGATGGTATTCGTAGCAAACACCTCTTATATACATGTTCTTAAATTTAAGCTTTTTTATCCCCATAGCACTATATTGTAAACAAGTCCAGTGAACCTGATCATCCATAAATAAAACTAGCATACTCTGCATGGAAATCAGTTCATGCAAACAGGTACTAAGCGACAACAAAAATACGTATTTTGGTTTTAAAAATAGATGTAGTTTACTCTAAAGTTTCTACCAATTTGTGCACTATCCTCGCCCCTTGGCTCTTTTCAACACATCTCCTGCATGGAAACATAATCTGCCCTTTTAATGTCGATAATCATTTCTATGCTGATGACACCGAGCTATATATTGACTCCACCAGCCACTCTCACATTCTGCCTTGACACAGTCTCATCTTGGATTTTGTTGTATTCCGTCAGATAAATGTTGCCAAAACTGAAAAACAGAAATACTACAATTGGAGTATTTGTCTCTGGAGGCCCTGACATTACAATGGTAAATAGTGTGCACCATCTTGGAATTGTCATTGGATTCCAAGGCTTCTTCTCTTCCAACATATTTCTTCAGGACCTCATAACTCCATCTGTCCAACATCTTGTGTATCTGCCATTTCCTTACACTCCAACTTCACGATTGTAACTCCCTCATCTACGCATTCCATACTCCTTTAGCTGATCCGATATCGTGCTGCTAGACTTCTCACCAACATCTGTCAATGAGACCACACTGCCCCGAACACTCCAATCGCTTCACTGGTTCCCAATTAAACCTGGATCAATTCAAGATCGCACTCACTGTCTTCAAGGTTCTTCATGGACTTTCCCCTGACTACCTCTCCCCTCTCATCTCACACCACTCCCCTCCATGCACTTGCCACTTCAGTAATCAAGGCGTCTTTTGAAGCCCCCAGTCAACCTTTGCTGAGTAGGAGGTCATTCATTCTCCTCTGTTGACCCTCATAGTTTGTCTGAAACTTACTTCCCCACAGCCATCCAACTCCCTTCTTCATGTTCAAGACCAGACTCAACGACTGTAAGCCTCTTTCTATAAAGCACGTATGCCCCCTGTTTCTGTACAGTGTTGCATTTAGACACTGCATGCATCCAAATTTGTATTGGTTTATTATTTCCTTGGCCGGTTATATATTCCGGATGGCCACGTAACTACATTTCGCAAATTCTACACGTAGTTTTATACACCATATCTGCATGGATTCAACCAACATAATTTGAATATTGAATTAAGATGCCGTATGACTACTAAAAAGAAAAATATACAAGTACAGTAAACATTGTCTACAATTCTTCAACAGTGACCTCACTATTATGATCCACATTGCTGCTAAAATACCACCATTCACATTCACATCCATACAAGTACACTTGCACAGATGACCTGATAGCTATATACACTCTCACACATGGACACCCACTTGTATTGATATGCATGCGTGAACTGCATTCCTTTAGTGTGGTTAAAATGATAGCATTGTTAAAACATGTGCTGAGAGGATAGATGTTTTATGCAGAGAGTTATCTCACCCTCTCCAATGGGTTACATTATTGGAGAGGGTGGGATAACTCCACGGCAGAACCCTGCTCACATATTCGGTACAGGCGCAATCCTGCAGTTTCTTGGACATGTCACTGCCGGCAGAGTGGTCTCCACTGCAGTACAGGGAGATCTAGGGAGGACCTTTGGAGGGTATTTTGGCCTACTCTTGGAAGACGTGGTAGTTACCCACACTCTACCCTGCCACGTGAAAAGTGCTGCTCGACTAAGTGCGGTACTAGGTAAACACGGGCGGTTAGATTGATTAAACGAACAGGCAACCTCTGGATTGCAAATCAAGCGTGATAGCCATTACACCATAGCGACACCCTGCTTACATATTATGAAAAAATAATCCTGTCAGGGGATAGAGAGACTGAAACTGTTGTAAAATAGTACAATTTGTGATGAAATGATACACAAGCATGGCTTGAATGTTCTGCCACTTTCATGAAAGACACCGAGGTAGTTGAATTGAGGTAAGAACATCCACTGATGTTCTACACTCAATCACCTAAAGTACTGGGATGATTAGGAATATAATTTGTGATGCATAAAATCCACCCGAATAACGTTGTCACATATAACATTCTCACAGGTCACCTGGAACGTTCCTGCAAAAGCAGAATGAAACTCGCCAAGTTTTCTTGTTCCGCAATCTCTATGATTCCAATAGATATGTGTGCTTTTGTGTAAGTTTTCGTAAGGTAACTGGAATAAGCACTTAAACACAAACATCCAAACCAACATTAAATAATATTGGCAGTGCTGTCAGTTGGAGTAGTTTACTCATAATTGGAAGTCAACCCAGCATATTATCCCCCCATGACCGATAAAATCAGTAACCACAAGGTAAAATTACATCAGTGGTCGACCTGAGGAGAACCTGGTCCCCACGATGGGAATGTCGGGGTGTCCGGGGGAAGGATTCCCACCAATAGGAGGGGGAGTGGGACGGTGACAGGAGAAGGAGCAAGCGAGGAGATATAAGGGAAGCGAACGGGCGGGAAGAGGGAATCTTGGGGGGAACGAGATTGAGGTGGCTGGGGACAGGTGTGGATGGGAGAAAATGAATAAAAGACGAACCCCCTGCAACCTGGTGTCGGCTCTCCTTTACAGGAATATGGAATTTCCGTCATTTGTTAATGGCTGCCAATGGAAATGAGTGCCATCCCGAATATTCACTGCAGACACTTTTGAGACACTTTGACTTGACTTGATATTATCTTTTTTTGGAAATGATCAGGAAAGTATTCAATGAAAAGTCAGGCGTTGTAACTGTTCTGTTGTTAAAATAGTGTTATTTTCTGAAAAATGTATGCAACATAACTTCACTAAATTAACTTTCCTAATCATACATGGTATCTTTTCTTTGCCCGAGTGAACTTTGGATACTAAAACCGTCCACAATTCGGTTTGAAAATTTGAGGTAGTTTAGTGTCATGATTTTAAAAAACAACGGTTATAAAAAACATTACAGTAGACACATGACTATATATTTTTTTTCTTTTGGCCACTCTAAATAATAAGAATAAAAAAACATTTTACATCATAGTAACACTCTGACATTCTGATGCTGTTGTAGATGATATAGGTTAACGTGTCCAAAAAAAGATCCAGTCATTTAAACAATTCCAGTCAATATGTATCAGTGAGTAACAACATCAATAAAACAAAAGGCATGTGTTAAACCCTGAAGAGATCAACAGAAGACACGGTTGTATTGAATGTTAAGTCCGGAAAATGCTTGTATTATTTAAAAGAGCACTCCTGGAGTGCAATTACGGGCATGTGAGACTCCCCCCCCAAAGACCTGAGATGCCTGTAGTTGTTGACATGATATTCTGGTGTGGGATCTATGGGTTGTGGTGAATTAAAGCTGAGGTAGTGATGACGTGAAGGGTGTCGTGTTTGTTTCTGGAGCAGGGGCTCAACCCTGCCTCTGCGAGTCGCTGCGATGAAGCTGCTTGCGAACCGCGGCGACCAACTGGCTCCAAATGCCGTTCAGAAACAGGAGCCTCGGCAGTTGAGACGCCACTACTCTGAGCGTGCCGGCGAGGAGCGGAAAGTTCGCTGAAGTCTTTAGTACACAAAGCTGGAGCTGGAACTCCAACATCTCCGTTGCCATTGCGGACGTCGCCCTGAGCCTCGGTGCAGGCAGTGATAGCACAGTGTTCTGTTACACTGGAAATGTCCTTAACTGGGTCCTGAGCACGGCCAGTCGCGGCGTTGCCGTAAGAGTCTTCAGAGTTGAAAAAGTCCGCTTCATCTGGCAGCTTTTGAAATGCGCATGGCGATGTCTGGTTGTCGGTGACCTCCATCTCAGAGTACTCTGATGCTCCTTCGGCAGTGTTTGTCTGTAAAAAAAAAACATGATTAGAAATGCTGATTTTTTTTTCAAAACTCTCAAAGTATTTTGCAACTTTTGAATAGGCTAAAAATATTATCCATGGACACACCTATCATATTAAAATGACCAGGGCCTGCAAAGGCTGCAGTGTTTCACCTAGCAGTGTGGGAACCTCTCCAGCCAAAGCATTCATTTTTTTCCAGAAGGAAATACAGCATATAAAATAGCATACTTCTTACTGAAACGGTGGAATTAACTTTGATATATAAATCCAAAGTTATTCAACCGAGCTTTTACAACTATTTGTATTATTATTTTATTGTGGCTATGCTGGGGAAATTAAGTTTCACGTGGCTGTGCAACACAACTGTGGTCATAGTCATTGAGAAGGTTTCATTTGTTCAACCCCTCATTTTATGAAATGAAGAATTATTTCAGAAATGTTGCATAGCAGTATGCCCCGTGTTTCAGAGATTGGCTGCAGAAACCCTTTTATAGGATTTTCCTCTTAATCCTTTACACAGCAGGGGTCGCAATTTATCACACACCCTGCTGTTGGATTGTTTGCTGCACAACAATAAAAATATATTTGCAATGCTTAGACATGGAATTTAGCCATATTGCGCACTAAACCAAATTCAATATGATTTTTTGGTGCAGTCATCAACTTGTTACACTTGTGATCCCAGTTTTATCGCAGTGTGGCGACAAGGATTCAAACCCAGGTTATTGTCGCTGATGGCTCTGCACTCTGACCTGGTCACCTCTCGAATATTGTTGCTGTTGTAAAAATAACCGTTTGGATGAGGTCACATGTTTAAAAGTACAATTGTACAAAGCTGCCCCAATGAACTACATGGCATCCTCGTCTCTTGTGTCCTTCCTTATCCTGCTCCTCTCTCCATACCTACCACGCTTTTCCTACCCACTATAGCCTCGTGTCTGAGACAAGGAAAATATATTTCCACTCGACACAAATCTAGGTGGGTTCAGAAGAGTGGTGATTGGGAAGCGAGGTGAGGGATTGTTCAGAGTTATGAAGACTTTTTTACGAATGTAGGCAGTGTGTTCGAGGAGTGAGCAGAGTGAATAGTTATTGCTTTTTAAATCATCATACTGTTCATAAAATGTATTCTCTAAGGATGAACATTCCATCTGAGGGAGTGGATGTGGGATGAAGGAGTGCCAGTAGGCTTTAGAAACTGTTGGTCAAATCCTTATATATAATGTGGAATGTAATGATATCTTCAACTAGGATATGCTATATGCGCACCTTTATATTCTGTAATATTTCACTGCATATTTATAAACTGGCTCAGTTTCATATTTGAGGAAGACAAAAAGTGTTATAGGGTCACCATGATGTCACAAGTATTTGTAGAGTCAAAGCCCCGGATCACTTTTAACTCCATCTGACATCATGCATCTGCTTTACGAGTTGCAGGGACAGACTGAGCCCACCAATACGTACAGCACCTACTGATCTAGCATCCAGGATACATTAACAATACAACCAAAATGAGGTATAGGGCAGCACCACTACCTTATCCTTGTGGTTCTAATCGTTCATTATTAATGCTCAAAGCTCAGACAGCTGCTACGAAGGCCAAGACTTATGCAGTATTTCCATGGGAAATGAGCCAACTTGGGTCATGAACCAGGGAAGTAGGTTGGTGTCAGGTTGGCCTTGCCAAGCCAACCTGACACCAACCGGGCTCTGGTGCTGATACCAAGTGGGCCGGGAGGCTCCATTTCACACAGGGCCACACACTTTTGACAATGGCCATGATGTCAGTGGTGCCTCTCTCTATCTCTCTCACATACGTCAACTTAGTTTTGACTTCAAGCCTGTAGTTTTGTAAAAACAAAAATGGCAGAAAATGTACAGAATTAATACTTTTTGCTTGATATAGCCTAACCTGATTGACAATTTATCTACAACTCTGCACCTAGCAGTACATCATCCTGTTTACGTTATTGAAAAGAAGAGGTGGCTGGGTGGCTTGACAGAACATGGAGCCTGCACCGCTGAATACCTGGGTTCAAATCATTCATTAAACCAGCACCTGTGAATAAACAGTCCTCAAGTGCAGCAAGTTGATGGCCTCAGCCCAATTACCGATGACTTCACAAAAAATCCCCTCATTATTACCTTCATCTTTTCACTCAATTTGACAAGATTCTGACTCTAAACTTAAAACATTTTGGTTTGAACAGCATGCGACAAACATTCTTAGCAGGACATTAACAGGTGTGCCCTGAGTGAAAAGAAAGGTAACTTCCGAAATAGATCTGTGACATTATCTCGCAGGGTCGTACCCTGACACAGGAAAATGCACAGCAAGCTGCAGGGTTCTCAATGGAAAAATGTTAATCTCATAATATGATGCTGATAGCACAATCTGATTATAATTGGGGTAAATGTGAGCCCCTGTAATTGCTCACTCACACCACTGCTGATAGAAGAGACTCCACTATACGGTGGTTATGAGAGCCCCTCCAGAGTGTATTTGGCCTACTCTTTCATACTGGTCAGACGTCTTGGAAGTGAGAGAGTACCCCCGCTTTAGGGTTCTTCCTGGGTCACTGAGCCTCTTGCCGGCAGCCATGGAAATGTCGCATTAGTAATTTTAAGGTTCATCGTTCATGAACGATGCCTGTACAGCCATAATAATCCACTCATTCTTTTTGGCAAGGTGTACTGTATTGCCTCCAGACAAAGTGGAGGCACCTCGTAAAGAATGGTTAGCCAGCTTATACATTGCCATAGCACAAATGTTCAGTTTTGTTAATCAAAAATATTGTGATAAAATTCTACTGAACCACTCATTGACATGTTATCCTATTAATTGAAGATACCTTGTTTCTACTATCCAGACAAAACTGTATGTTTGATCAGACTTACATCGTCATGTGTGACACTATTTTAGAACAATGTATACACAACATAATTATGAAGGCATCCATTTATAACTGTAAATGGAAATAGATCAACGTATACATTTAGTGATCCTGCATTGGCAGTGGTGGACAAATATATGCAACACGAAAAAATCCAACACATTCATCAATAACACTGTGGCGTTAACAGTAAAATATAAAATAGGTGATGTTTTGGGCTATGCATCGTCTTTATGGCACGTACAAAAATGAACGGTCATTGCATTAAATTTTGCCTTTTATACATTTTTACTTGCAGGGCAACAGCGTTATTGAGAAAAGTGTTCTTAGCTCAACGAGCCTTACCCAAAATAAACTCACCGGTATATATATAGCTTAACACGCACTATGTAATACAAGTATCGAAGGAATGTATTTATTAAGAGAGGCAGTAAGCTTATGTAGCAGTACGCTCGCGTTTGTCCTGTCACCTTTGCACCCATGTCGACTCATGGGATTTACCTTAATCAGCTGCTGTGGGCTGTCCAAACTACGATATTGAGAGGTGCTCATTAAACTCTGCAGCTCTGCCTCCAACGCGGTTGGATGTGTGGCTCGCAATTGAACAAGCAGAGTGTCAGGGGTTGTTATTCCTCTTGCCGCACTGCAGAATGGGATTGCATGACCATTGCTGTGTGGTGTCATCAGAGTCTCCAGCTCATAGGCCTCAGGGGCAGCTTCTGCTGCTGATGCCTCATGCTTCCCGTGTTGCACGGAGGGAGAGCCAGCCATCCTTCGTGGCACAGATGACGACGATGCTCTGGCATGCCAACGTGGGACAGGAAAGAACAAAGGAAAGCATGATGTTAGATCATTCGTGTATCTTGGGTCATCATCGGACTTGTATTATAAATTATCCATCCTAATTTACTGCCAATGAAAGAAAAAGGGATTGAATCGCAAAGAGATTTGGTGTGCTTGCCATTGCAACAGATTTCCTAAAATGTATTAATTGATTCATGGAGCAGCCAAGCTATATTTGCTAGCATAGCAGAACTCTTATTATCCATCATTCTCTGAAGCAGAAATCGTATTATCCACAGCCATCAGAGGATCCAAGGTTCTTCCCATTATCGATGGATTCCCAAGCAGTCATATGTATTTTTGATTAAAGACAAACGTTTAATCACATTTGTAATTGAGCCATCTGTATTGTGGCCTCGCAAGCTATTATATGCAATGGGTTTCCAGGTATGTGGCAAAGGGCAATGTACCGAAGAACCCTAAATGAGGAATTATATCCATGTTGAAAAGTATATCATAAATTAAGGATTCAGAATGGTGATTGGCGTTTATCTCACTTGTATATGTGTACAGTTCACACACATATTGGAGAGACACCTACGATTAGCACGATTGGCTATGTACAGTGCAAAAGAAGTTCAACATACGGTACATACAAGGCGAGTCCTACCTGCTGTTGCCAGTATGACTGCAGTGGTGCAAGTTGCTGTGCACCCTTAGTGTTGTGTTTATCATGTGAGTGTAGGCTATGTAAAGACCAATAAATACAGATTTAGACATTTTATCTAATCTAAAGGGAGAAGAGGCAATAAAAGAGTTTAACTGTGCCTAAGACATTTTACCAGCAGCTCTGGGAGGTAGTGAGATCTGGCGAGATTTTGCTTAAAGAACGTATTTTATTTATGAGACTGAACCAGAGTACTCTTTGTTTCTTTCGGTAAAGTCACGTAGTTAGAAATAAAATTAAAAAAAAATCCACGACGTTTCGATCACAACACAAGCAATCGTCATCAGGTGGGGCAACTACAGCAGGAAACAACTGCTGTTGTTGCTGTTGTTTCTTGCTGTAGTTGTCCCACCTGATGACGATTGCTTGTGTTGCGATCGAAACGTCGTGATTTGTTTTATTTTATTTCTACCTACGTGACTTTACCGAAAGAACCAAAGAGTATGGATCCTTGCTGTCACGAAAGCTTTAAATCTAGAGTTGAACCAGAGTAGTGCTTCGTCCATATTTGACAACAGAGATGGGGTGAATTCAGCATCAACGCATTTAATTCATTCATATTCTAAAACGTTTGTTAAATATTCAGAGTTATGCTGCATCATAGAACATGTATGACTAACAAGCAGTGTGTAAGACAGCGAGGACTGTGCATTGTTGGAGGTGATCTGAGGAAATATTTTGTCTGCGAGTTTCATATGCAGTGGCCTTGTCTCTCCACATAACAGATGCGTTTTACCATCCTTTTAATAAAATATTTCAATAATTTACTAATTACTATTTTACCCACCCTGTATTTAGAAAACCCATCTATTTAAATAATGATGTGCATCTAAAAATGAGCTGACGACCTGGGGATGTATTAAAAGTACATTTGGTAAAATAAGCCGGGAATTAGGAAGATGTTGGAAAATTGCTAAAGGGAAGCCTGCTGTGACCAGCTTAGCCGGAACAGTCAGCCATGACCTTTGATCCTGCCGCCACTATGATTGTAAAATATGCAGCAATGTACAAATGAAACACCTTAAATAGTACCGTTTGTATTATCGGCATTTTATTTCAATGTTACTCACAAGTTTATGGTTTACTCAATAAAAAACACAATGTAAGTATACTCAATGCTACCTTTGATGGAGGTCATATTTTATCATGAGTTCTTAAATTTCACATGTTGAAGTCTAATTAAAATATGCAGGAATGTTAGGAGATTATTGATAGTATTTTAAGTGTTGTTTGCTTGTAAAATATGAATCGTCTAATGAAATTACCATATATGCACCCAATTTAAAATCTCAGAAGCTTCGCAGGGTTGAGCCTGGTTAGAACTTGAATGGAACATTTTTGGGGTATACCAGCTGTTGGAAACTTGGACAGGCCGATGGTAGTACAGCTGTGGACTCGTGAATATATATGCGCGGTGCTCTTGAGTGCTCTGAGTGTTATACCGGTGTATACACACCGGTATAATCCAAGTCCTCTCATGTCCGCCCACATGCCAAACACTCGTCAATAGAATTGGCAAAACATTCCAATGCAGGACACTCTTCGAGAAAAAAAGTTCTGAGATTCAGTGGGGGAAGTGACGGCATTGTTACACACTTCTATAATGAATCATATTCACCGTAAGCAAGGGAAAACACGGCAAAAAATATTTATGGACATCCAATTTAAGTTTTAACAAACGTACACTTGAGGAAAATAAAGATTTTATTTTGGAATATGTAGAAAGCTAACTACGTATGTGCTTGCTGACTCATTCACATACCCCCCGCTTTCCTATCTGACGGGAGCAACTCATGCATACGTGAACCTGTTGTGCTCGTTGACCTATCACCATTGTGGCTTTCGTGCATTTCACTTGGCCCCCTTGTTACCACCCAAGAGTGCCGATATGCCTGTTTTCTAACATGTCACATGTTCATGCACCAATCGACCACTCTCTGCAGCTTCTCGTCATCAATCCTTGATCTTTGAAACCTCACCTCAGTTTGTGTGCACTGAGTAATGGAGGCACACTTTTACCTTGTGTGATGTTGACTGACGCATTATATTTCAAAAGGCGAATGGTCAAGTCTTGTTATAATATATGTCCATGGCATCTAAGCATGAGTCGCAATATATTTTGTATCATCACGTATAAAAAAAATATAATACTGGCAGTGTGGAGCCATACTTATATGTCTTTACGCACGCGAATAAAAAAATATCGTACGCTTATTTGACGTGAGGAAAACATCACTTATCCTACCAGCGGCCCTATTATCCATGACTCCTAATATCCACGGGGTCTTGCCGATCAGCAATTTTTAGCATTATGCGTGGTTCGCAGAGAGACATCACGACTGGAGTTTGCCAAGGGGGAATGCCGTCACCTACTTTTGTTCAATGTCACGTTTGACTAAGTGTTCAATTAAAACTATGCCTAAGGTAGACCTGGGAAACTCGGATCATGAGAAAGACGCAGCTGCTAAGCTAAGACTCTGGCACAGGAGTTTTAAGTGCCGAACATAGACAATGGGGCCTGAATAATGGGGAGCTTTCAACAAATGATTTGATGCAATCCATTACTGTTATTGCAGATGTTAGATATCGCTTAATAGCTTTGGAATCTAACATGAAGAAGAGGTGTGGTTTTAAATCGAATTTGCATTCCAATCAAATCACGAAAAACGTGCCTAACATCATCAGATCTCAGAAGCTAAGCCGGTGCAAGACTGGTTATTAAATTAATGGTGACCACTAGGTAGTGTAGACATAGGGCTAGAAAGTGGTGCTCTGGCGTGGGTTTTGGGTTTTCTCCAGACTCTCGCATATCCTTTGACATGCCAAACACTCCTTTAAAGTTTTGACCAAAAATCCTAATAAAAACGAGATCTACTAATCAGTGAGGATTTATTGTTATAATAATAATCAGTGCCACAACAAAAATAATATGTGAACACAGTGGGCAGTAATTACAATTATAATTAATAGGTATTACTATAATTCATTATTATTCCTACATAAAAATAGTGCACATTGTGTTTTTATATAATCTTTGTTGTGCCATTGCTTTTGTGTGCCTTACAAAGGTGATTTAGTATTGGTGAATGTTTGTTTTTGTGTTTTCTCTTAACCAGTTTTCACGGGGCTGGTGATGCAGGTCCTGCAGTACCCTGGTAGTTTTGGGGAGCGATGGTGAAGACCCTACATTATCACTCACAAATGTATGCTATTCTGTCTTGGTGTCAGAAGTAACTCCTAAAAATGAAAATTCAAACAATAACAATCATTCCCAGCTCTTTTGTTAACCCACTGTTGGATGAAGTCCTCCTCATATCATGTCAGTCATGGGGGCTGTTTTTTTTTTACCATACTTCATTATGCTGGTCAATGTGGGTCGGTGAATGAAGCACCCGAAACCGGTTCAGATATCACTCGCCATTGCTGTTGGCCATGGCCAGGAATCAAACGTATGCTGCGGGTTCATCACAGTGCAGTTTGCAAAGTATTGTAAAGCAATGCTTCATTCAAGTTGAAACTTACCCACAGCTCAATGGTATAAAAATCTAGCATGTCTACCTTGAAAATGCTATTATTCCTCCATCACATGGTTAAATAAAATTCATTACATGATATATAAAAACATATATATACTTATTCTATTGCCAGTGATCCAGAGGTTTCTCCAAATATTTAAGCAAACTTCAAAGATCCGCAGTGGCACCTACAATTAAGTGTAAATAATGTTCAGTATGAGCAAAGTGCATACATTCAAGGCTCTCCATACAGGTGCGGGATAACAACTGTTTGCAGAGAACACTTACAATATACGGCATTTTCTCGATGACAGTTCAATAACGCGAAGAAAAATACATGGTGAAGTGACAGCTGACTTCCAGTCACCAGCAACTATGTAAATGCAGGACTGCATTAACATAGTTGATTTGTTTTGCCCCACAGATATTAATTCACTGTCCAACTCAAAGCTCGGTCCAGGTGGTACTATGGCTGTGTTCTCGTGTATCCTTTCAATAAAATAACAACAAACATCTCTCGATTCGAGAGCTCTCTGATGTCCTTTCGGGGTTGTGCCGTGCGTTGCTCAACATCATGTCACGTGGCACAACTCGAAAACAGATCGGAGAGCTACACAGCACAACCGTGAACACCTACACAGTGGTATAACTCTCAACATCACTTATTGTAGAGGCCGCACGCTGAATTAGACGCAACATTTAATGGGATTAAAGTTAGGTGAGGTTTCAGCTAACCCGAGGGTGGGCAACCACAAAAATCCATGTAGTGCGCAG